TAAAATCTTGATCTCCTTGGGTGACCGACGACGAACAGGAACCTTGATTGGACGAGCATCCCCGGTTGGAATGGGATGACGTGTGGCAATCTTGGCCCCAGACGATAGGTCAAATTCAAAGAGATCAGAATACTCCTTCATGAGCTGATCAACAGCTGCAACACAAAGATCATCGGAGGGATCGGAAAAGGGAAGAGCAGAACAAGATGGAAACACAAGAGGAAATAATGGGGGAACAAAAGTAATGGAAGCAGAGGTAGAAGTAGAGGGACGAAGAGGTACAGAAGTGAGAGGAATGGATGAAACATAAGGAAGTATGAGACAAGGGGGAAAAGCCTCAAAGTCACACTTGGCATGATTGTGCTACAACCAATCCATACCAAGAATGAGGTCAAAAGCTTGACTCGGCACCACCCGCAACGACTGCAACTCAAGCTCGAGATCGCCCACACGCACAACCAGGTCCGCCTCATCTCGTGCACATGCATGTGTACGGCCGTTGCCATAAAGAATGAAAACTGGATCCGCCGCACGACGCAAGTGTAGACGACAACGTGTGGCAACAGGTCGAGCAATAGAAGATAAACTCGAACCTGTATCAACCAACACGGAGAGAAGAATAGGAGACCTCTTGTTATAAAAACGAGCTTGGAAAGTAAACACTGGATGAACCGGTGCCGAGTGAACCCCTTGATGATACTCCCGAAAGAAAGATGGAGGGGTCACTAACTTATTCGCGCAAGGTCCCTCCATTACTCGCGCGACTCCTCGTTTCCCGAATGCACCTCGGTATCCAAACCTTCCACCGCAGCAGCACCAACGGGACGTTGCTGACGCCAAGGTCTCCACCCAGGAAATGGAGGTCGCCAATCCGGAAAGCGCCGACAACGCCGATAAGTATGACCAACTTCATCACACGCCCAGCAACGAATGTCACGGCCACGACCACGTCCTCGCCCTTGTCCTTGAACTCGAGTAGCAGCAGCATCAACCTCCATGGGAATAGGACCATCACTCATAGGAAGTGGAGCTGAAGGACGTGTAGCAAGAAGTGGAAGAGGCGACGTCTCATAACGTTGTGCCAAGCGAAGAGCATCGTCAAGAGTGGCAGGAGCAAGTGCATGCACAAGTCCGACAAGATCTTGACGAAGTGCTGGCCACAGCATTCCTAGCTTGATCCACTCCGACATATTTGGCTCCGCACGAAGCAAAAGACTTCGGAAACGAACGCCAAATTGGATCACCGACTCAGATGGCCCTTGGCGAAGACGATGCAATTGTTGGAAGGCATCATCACAATCGTCGGCGTGTCCGAAGGCGCGTTTGAAGACGTCCGGAAGAACACTCCAATCGCCACGAGTAGCTGCGCTCAATCCATTGTACCACTGCAATGCCGTCCCTTGAAGACATGTGGGGAACTCACGCAAACGCCGAGCATCATCCCAAGAATGATATGTGGCAATCACCGTGAAGTGATCGAACCAATGGTACACATCATCCCCAGGATTCCCACGAAAGAACTCCGGCCGAACGCGAGGATTGGCACCAAAAGCAGGAGGAGTTGTACCATGTGCCGTGAACGCCGCCATCAACTGAGTTTGGTTGTTCAATTGCAGGCGCATAGCATCAAGCAATTGAACCAACTGCTGCTCTAGAGTCAAAGGAGGAGATTGCGGATCAGCCATGAAAATGAATGAGAAAGAAAGAGCAAAAGAAGAGAAATGACAAAAAACTAGAAAGAAATGGTAGATCTAGACAATGCAAAAAGCTAGATCTAAACCAAAATCCTGAAAGGAAAGAACAAAAGAAAGGAAATGGAAAAAGCTAGATCTAGACAATGCAAAAGCTAGATCTAAACCGAAATCCCAAATCCAAGCACTCCCCAGGGACAATCAAAGGTGCCCCTCACCTCCACCAATGTGAGTATGGAAAGGGAATACAGAAATGTGCATCTCAATTAACCCAAAAACCCTAGCTTATATACAGGAGCGAGTGGTCCGGATTGAAACCAATCCGACGGCTACCAAAATCCACTACGCTAATATTAGTATACGGCATCGTAGCCGTACACTTGGCCCTCACAACATGTAATAAATCATTATCTAAATAAACATATCCTCCTTGAAGAAAAGCAATTATACATTCATTCCATATAATACTAAATGCCTCAACAATATCATCCATAATCTTTGGATAATATGAATCAACAAAAACAGTCAGTGATAAATTATTCTGAATAAAATCTCTACGACCTGTACCATTTTGACATACAAAATCTAAAACATCATATTTAAATTAACAAACATCTTCCTCATTATATATGGAATTAGTTCTAGGAATACAAGCTCTTAGAAATGAAGAGCTCATTCCAGATATTTTATCATTTATTAAATAAATTATAATTAAGAAGATCTTAATTAAATATGTTAATGCCATTCTTCAAATTTTATTATTAATATAAATGTTATATTTAACTTTGCTTCTTTTCTAAATATAATATAATCCTTGATGGAAGTATTTATAGAAGAAATTGATCATATAAAAATTAAATTCTTTTCTTTTAGAATATATAAGGAATTTTGATGATGTGGCAGCCAGACTGTAAGTATTATAAGAAAACAAAAATATTATTAAAATATTTTTCTTGCAACATGTGTCAATTTGTCTAAGTTTTATATTTATCAATAGACTGTACCTTTTAAAGTTTTAATAAAAATGTATTAGAAAAGAAATCATGCTTTTGCACATAATAGACTGATCTTTAGTTGCAAGTAAAGATTCAAATAATGGTAGAAATGTACCTCGATTGTAAAAGTACTTGTAGCCCTAGGTAAAATCTGCCATCATGTAGCTAAAGACTCACCTCAACAAATCCACCAACAGCCTTAATCTTCATTTTTCCCAAGCAATTCAGTCTTAAATCTCAATTCTCATACCAACAATCAGGCAAATGCTCTTCTGAGTGCCCATATTTTAGGGCATTTTGCCCTAAAATGGATCAATGTGCTTTTTGTAAGAGGATGCATCTTCATACTCAGCAATGAGGATTATCCAATAGCTAAACAGTATAAAATGGATGTGTTAGACCTTATCATTACTTGTTATGAGGGTGGCACATGCTTAATTTTGAGGCAACAACTAAGCTCACCAAGATCTATAGCTACTCTAGAAATTGGTAGAAAGCTAGAAACAATAGTGAAAAAAAGGACATAAATGATTTTTATACATGATGCAAACTAAGTTAATTCAAAAGTCTAAACTAAGCATAAGTCCATACCAATCTTATATACACATGTGATATAAAAGTCATCTCAAGTCCATTGGTTTAAACAAAGGTTGCTTACCTTCTAGATAAATACCATTTGGAATTGAAGATGGGTGGTCTGCTGCTTTACTCTATGTTCAGAAACTAAATTAGTAGTAGACCAATTTTACTTTATGTAAATTTTATAAATTAAAAAAATTATAAACATAAATTATCTAATAAATATAAACCATTAGATTAAGAATATGTTACGATATGTTTTTGGTTTACTTAAGCAAACATGTGGATGGTAGTGAATATACTAAGTATATTCCTGGAATTCTAGAATAGAAGATTAATTGTTTATAATTTATAAACTTTCCTAAACACTTTCTAGTATATTCTAGTTTATTCTACCATCTAATGGTTGATATTCAACAAAATTAATCTTTTGTGTTTATAAATTGTATACATGCTTATAATTAAATTAATAAATAATAATAACACTATTATTAAGCAAACCAAACTTTGATACATATAGTGCACACCAAATTTTTGGTTTGCTTAAGCAAACCTATAGGGGACTGGGATGGTAATGAATATACCTAGAATATGTTTAAATATTCTAGGATATTCTACTATCTAACAGTTGTTATTCATTCAGATTAATTTTGTATTTATAATTTATAAACATGTTTATGAATTATAAACTTTCTTAAACCCTTTCTAGTATATTCTTTTTATTCTATCATTTTGTTGATATGCAATAAGATTAATCTTGTGCTTATAAATTACAAACATGCTTATAATTATAAATTTTATTTGATCAATTGGATTAATAAAAAAGAATAACACTACTATTAAGAAAACTAAACGTTGCTACATGCAACACATAACAATTTATTATAAATTATAGACATATTTATAATTTATAAACGCAAGATTAATTTAAATAAAGATCAACCGTTAAATGGAAGAATATACTAAAATGTCCAGGCTTATTTCTTCTAGGTCGAAGGGTTGTTTTTTAAGGTTTAGCCATGAAGCTTCAGCACCCGGAAAATCGATCAAGATTTTTGATGAATGGCTCGATTGACGAGGAGGATGGCAGTGATGAGCCAGTGCTACTTGATCCAGCAGTGTGCGGTGCTCTCTCCAGTGACATCCTCGCCATGATCCTCGGCTGGCTGCCACTCCCGGCGCTATGCCGCTTCCGGTCAGTCTCCAAGGCATGGCACGCGGCCATCGGGCGGATCCGAAAGGTCAGGCACGGCCCCTGGTACGTCTCATGCGCTGAGGGTGCCGTCAAGATCGCCAACCCTCGCGACTGGGAGCTTTTTGGCCGCCACTGGCGTAGCTTGCCGCAAATGCCCGGGCTCGGTATTTGCCGCCTCTGCGCTGCTGCTGGTGGGTTGTTTTACTTCGTCATCGCCGGGGGCGATTTTCCCTACAAGGACGATGCCGTGGTGCTCAACCCGCTCACCGGCTACTGGAAGGAGCTGCCGAGAGTTCCCAGGATCGTGGAGTTGAGGATGGAGAGGATGTCGGTGTGGAGGGGGATGGAGGCTCTCGGGCAGGATGGAGATTTCCTCGTCGTCAACTTGGTGGAATGCGTTCCACGCTACGTTCGACGGAGGGACATTGTCCAGGTCTACGACTCGAGGCAGCGGAGATGGAGCACCAACGCTGAGCTTGTTCTTGAGCCAGGTATGATCGACAGTACGTCTCCTCTGAGACCAAAGTTTTTTTTTTTTTCCAGGCGAGTGTTGCGCGCCGGGTAGTGCAGCGTTACACGGCTCGATCCTCTACTTTCTCACTATTCCAGGGAACCCGGACGCCACGGCCAGGCTGAGATCCTTTCGACTGGACATTGATCTCTGCGGGAAGTGCGAGAGCACCATTGTTGCAACCTGGAAGGATCTGCCAAAGAGGAGCTTCTTAAGTCCGAGTCAAGCTGACAGGAATCCAAAGCTGTTCTTCTGGGGTAAGTGGTGTCCTCTCCTCTTCTCCTTCATAGTTTTCTTCTTCGCAGGAGAGCGATGCATGTTGGCAAGCTTTGGTGAGGTACGCCCAGGCAGCGCGAACGAGACGATCTTCTTACACGCCTTGGACGCGGAGAGCAAGACATGGATAGAATTCGACCGCCTTCAGACTCCTGGAAAGAAAAGAGCATTCCAGGACTTGCGAGTGGCAGCAGATCCTCTGGAGCAAAGGCTTACCTTGTCCACGGCAGAGAATGGCTACGCTTACGACCTTTCCACAAAAGAGTGGTCTCGTCCATGGTCGTTCTCTCGTTTCAGCCCATGCAGTGTTCCATTCTTTCCTTACACACCGTCCTTCTGCTTAAGTAGAAGCGACGTATAGATCCATGAATGAATGGAAGCTAGAAGTTCGTCACGTACCGCATTATGCTCGTGAAAGACTAATAAGGCCACAGTGTTTCCAAGCCTTCGAGCTCCATTGCCTGGAAGAGCTCGGGAAGTTGATCTTCGCGGCCACCAGCGAGATAGGCCGACGCTAGAGTTGCCCACACGAACCCCTCCTTGATCGCGAGCGCATCAAACGCGAGCTTGGCATTCTTCCAGTCGCCACAAAGAGCATACATGTTGAGGACGTCCCTGAGCGTGTTGGAGGTAAACGCGGAGGTTTTTGCGAGAGAGGAGGCCAGTTCCTTGCCACGAGCAAAGTTCTTCTCGTCGCAGCAGGCAGCAAAGACGCTGCTCAGGGTCTGCTCGTTTGGATCCATGCTCGCGCTCTTCATCGCGTCGAAGAGAGCTAGACACTCTCCAAACTCCCCATGCCGGACGTAAGCCTCGAGCATGGCGTTCCACACCAGTATCTCCTTTCCGGAAGAGCTCCTCTTGAACAAGAGCCTGGCATTCTCGAGGCTGCCACACTCGGAGTACATCCTGACGAGAGCGGCGACGAGCCGAGCGCTGTGCTTCACAGTCGTGGCCACCGCTCGCGCGTGGATCGCCTTGCCTTGCGAGAGATGCTCGGGATGGCGGCACGATCCAAGCACGAGCACAAAACTCTCCGGATCTGGAGAAGTTGCTCGAGCTCGCATCACAGTGTAGAGCTCCAGTGCGTCCACAGAGAATCCACCGCGAGCACACACCTCAAAGCAGTAGTTCCAGCACGCTCCTGACATCCTGGCCGCCGCGGCTTTCACTCGATCAAACCGCCGGCACTGTGCGTAGATCTTCACCAGCGCGAGCTGGAGATCACTGCCGCAGACCCGGTCCAGTCCCTCGCTCGCGATCCTCTCCACCACCCTGCTCCCCAGCTCCAATCTCCCCGCCGCCACGCAAATCTCTAACACAGCCGCGTAGGTGGTGCTATCCGGCCTCTTCCCCTCCACCGCCATCGCCCAGTAGAACTCCAGCGCGCGATCGTGCTGCTTCCACCGCCACAAGGCCGCGATCACCGCGTTCCACACCGGCGTCTCCTTGAACCTCACGTCGCCAAACACCTGGATGGCGGTGTCGAGCCGGCCACACTTGCCATACATGTAGATGATCGCGCTCTGGAGCTTGTGATCCTGCCGGACGCGCCGATCGATGAGCAAGTTGTGGAACTCGGTGCCGGAGGAGAGATCGCGCAGCTGGCCGCACGCCCGGATGGCGAGCGCGAAGGAGACGGCGTCCGGGACGGCCCTCTGGAGGAGCATCCGCCGGAAGTTCCGGTAGACCATCTTGCCAGATCCATCGTTGCGCGCGAGCATCCCCAGGAAGGCGTTCCAGGACTGGACGGTCCTCTTGTCCATGGTCTCGAAAACCTGGCTGCCCCATTCCAGATTGCCGCACCGGGAGTACATCCGGATCAAGAGATTGGCCATGGATGTATCGTCCAGGTACTTGGTGGCGTCCATGTGGCGGTGGATGCGAACGCCGTAGGAGAATGCGTGCTCGCGGGCGCAGCGCCGGAGGAGGGAGGCGTAGACGGAGGGATTCACCCGGTTTGGCGAGTAGGATTGCTCCAGCGAGTCGACGGCGTCGGCGAGGCCCTGGGACACCCATGGCTCGCGCGGGTACCTGATGCGCCGCCGCCGCTTGAAGCTCAGCTTCCTCCGGTGTAGCCCTCGCAGCATTCCCAAGAGCCCTAAACCCCGTGAATATTCGGCGGGATATTCGATTCTTTGAGTTTAAACCAAAAAACGGCGGGACTTCGCAGTCGTGATCGGTGGGAATTTCTATTGTCTCGCTGGCGCGCATTAGAGTGGAGAAAGGGTTCCTCGTCTTCCAGAGGCAATCTAATTTGCTCGCATCCATAACTGTTGCAAGAGTCGAGTGAGTCCACTGCCAAAAATTGGCATGGGCACAAGAGATCTTTGTCGGAAAAAAAGTGTAGGTTGCTCTCATCCCCGAGTAAACTTTAAAGTCGATCATAACAGTTATAAGTTTGTTGACAAGGAAGAATGATTTAGAACAGGCATCATAAAAGGTACTACTCTGAAGTTAGCTCTATTGCGCTCTTGGGAATGTGAATGGTAAGCAAGCCATTTTGCAAAAATGCTCTAGTCTTCTTCAGGTCAGCAGTAGTGGGAAGCTTGAACTTCCTTTGCTTGAAGACGTTGGCACTGGTCTTTACGGTGAGTTGATCCGGACCTGAACATACCACAATCACTTCCTCTCGTGATAAGCCTGCACAATTGCAAAACCAAAAGCTCTTGGGAAGGCGTGGAAGTGGGGAAGAGACATACCTGGAACTTCGATATAAAGGGTGTGGTGATGCTCCTCATCTACAGTAGTTGCCTCAATACGTTTGTTCGTGGCTGTAGCAGAGAATAAAAAAAGGAAATTAGTGGAGGTAAAAAGAAAAACAGAAAAATACTCGTGTCCAGCTCAGCCTCATCACGGTCCTCAATTGGCACTGTCGAAGCTGTCCGCTTGAGCGCAGCGGCCCCCTTGGGAAAGCGAATAGTGAGAATCTCATCCTGGAGATTCACTATTGCACCATTGACGTCAGCGTGAGGAGGAACCACAAGGTTCTCGGGGCGGAATACGTCCTTCTCCGTGGAAACACGCACGCCCTGTCCATCGTTTGCAACACGCACTTGATCCAGAGACGTGAGACCTGTACAATAGTAGGCAAGAATAAGAAAATTTAATAAGATATGTCTGCAAATGACTTACCGGGCACTTGCACATCGACAGTGTAGAACTGCTGGTTCTCGAATGACGAGCACAAGAGCTTGCGCTTGTCATATCCTGCAAGCCACAGCAAGGAGAAATAAAAAACTCCAGGCAGGATCAAAGCCATACCTTTATTGTGCTTGAGGCAGTTTAGCAGTAGTTGTTGTGCATGTTTCTTCTCAAAGTTGTAGAGAGCAATGAGACCTCCGTGCTGAGAGAACTGCGGGAGTCCCCCGGCATCAGCCACCTCTTGCGCCAACCTGAGGCCCCTGGCACACCTTTTCAAGTGATCACTGGAGAAGACAGCGTGTGGGACGACCGGTGTAGCATATGATGGAGAGCGCTCATGGATCAGAGAGGTGAGGCTTGTTGATTGCAGACCAAAGAGGTTGGGATAAGACTCAGCAGCAAACACACGCGCCTGCTCCTGCAACTCTTGCATGTTTGGCTCCCCGGAGAAGACTTCCTTCTCAGCTCGGCAAGCAGCACTCCGGCAAAAGTCATGCACGAGGCGAGTTTCTTCCTGTGTAGGGTGGTGTATGGGTGGCTCTCCACGAAAGTGGCGGAAGTCATCCTCTGAGGCGATGTTCACGAGCTGGATCATGTGTGGATACGGGCAGGGGTAGTCGCCGCAGTCGTCAAACCCAAGTGGTTTTTCGGAAGGTGGAGGGAAGTCGCCGCTCACGATTTCGGTGTACCTGAGCGTGTGATCCAGGAGATGCGCCTGGAAGCAGCCGGTGGCACGATCAGAGTCACCTAGCGCCCGAAAGACTTGGCCGAGGACACGGTTGTTTAGGCGGAGCATCACCATCCACAGAAACTCTCCATATTCATTGTAGGCATCGTCCGTCGGTGGTTTGCTCACCTGAGGGAGCTTCTTGCCTTTGCTGCTGCTGCTGCTTGATGCCCTCCTTGCTGTGTGGACAAGCCACCTTAACATTTTCTAGGGTTAAACGTGTGTTCTGCTAGGGTTTTAGGAAGGGCATGATGTGGGGTGCTCGTTTCAAGCGTTTGCAGCAGCCAAGTTTAATGTTGTTTCGTCTCCATAGCACTCATGGTCATGCTCGGGTGTTCTTGGACACGGGAATTGATATAGAAGTAGATCAATCGGAATGGGATAAACGTGTAACACGGACTTTTGGAGAAACATGTACGACTTCAATGCTACAATTGCTCTATTTTAAATATTTAAGGCAAATCCGGGTGAACACTCTCTACAGGATGAGGCACGAGGTACGATTTCAATACTAGAAATAATATTGATTGAATTTTATAAAGATAAATTTTTTTTTCAGGTTTGGAAAAAAATGATAAGTATTAATCCATCAAGAAAGGATATAGACCAAGCAGTGACCCTGTTGTTACGCAAAGGAGGTTTGAATGTTTTTTCCTTTATTTCTTTGATTTCTTTTTTCTTCATAGGGATAAAAACTTTTGGAGACCTTGCTCAGTTTCATCATACTTTTAATGCTTTTTGGACAATTGCACGAAATCCTCACAAGGATTGGGCACTGCTTACTCCTGATAAAGCAAGGCATTTGGCACAAGCTTATTTTAAGGTATAATTTAGATTAGTTTTTATATGATAATTTTTCTTCTTAGGCAGCTATAGATGACTTGTGGAGTGGTTGCAATCCACTTACATTATCTGAAATCATGGACATTCTTATGGGTGGACAAGTATATTTTATTGCTAAGCAGTATAGGTTTGCTCTCAAAAAATTTCTTTATTATATTTGAAACAATTTTACAGTGACGAGGGAGCTCATCATGATAACAATATTTACAATGTGGTATGGCATTCCTATTCATCTCCAAATCCACCAATTATCAAGATCAACGGATACACTCCATTAGAGGATATGGAAACAACAGATGTATTAATCCAAATTGGTGAAGCTTTACACAACAAGGACTCTCGGCAATTTCCATTTTTGAAGGCATTTACAGCAAGTGTGAGAAGATGTTAATATTTTTCTGTATTTACACAATAAAGTTTGCTTTAGAGTAATCCATAATATATTATATTAAATAAATATATTTTTGGTTTGCTTAAGCAAACCAAATATACTTAGAATATGCTTAGATATTCATTATACAATGGTATGGCATTCCTATTCATCTCCATATCAAGATCAACAGATACACTCCATTATAGCATATGGAAACAATAGATGTATTAATCCAAATTGGTGAAGCTTTACACAACAAGGAATTTCTGTTTTTAAAGGCATTTATAGAAAGTGTGAAAGGAAGAGGTTAATCTTTTTCTGTATTTATAGAGTTTAATTACACAATAAATTTTGCAATAATCTCTAATAAATTATATAGCATATATTATAAATATTATATTAAGTCTGAGCTGGTGGTAGTGAATATATTTAGAATATACTTAGATATTCAGAGATATTCTTCCATTTAATGGTTGTTATTTATTGAGATTAATCATGTATTTATAATTTATAAATATGTTTTGTGAGTGTATGGAATATAAAAAGAGAATATAAGAAATATACATATCAATTAGCCTAAAAACCATAGTTTATATAGAGGAATGAGTGGTTAAGATTGAAACCAATCCAATGGCTACCAAAACTTTATTATGCTAATATTAATATACGGCATTGTAGCCATATACTTGGACCTCACATCATCTTTTCCTCTTAGAATGATGGAAGATCATTAGAATTCTCTCGTGAATGGGTTGAAATCTGAAAGAATATTAAGAGGAGCCATTGATAGATTTGTAAGTGGTGCCAATTATTCTTGATCCCTTTATACAAAGTGTTTCAATTGCTGTACATGCACAATTTCTGGAGGATCAACCTATTGGATGTTATGTTGAACTTCATAAACTAGTATTACGAACTTAGCACCAAATGTAACTATGCACATATTGGATAATATCACATTGCATTTCTAGCCAATAAAAAGATTTGTACAACTTCTCGATCACATAATGATGTCCTATATGCCCACATAGAATAGGAGAATAATAGTAAGTGTGAAGAAAGCATGGAATAAAGATTAAATGCACCACTAACCATAAATGATCATCAAGATCCGTCCGTAGAAAATACCATTTTCAAGGCTATATTGAGATTGTAAATGTCGAAATGGTAAGTTATTAGCAAGTGATATAGGGTTCTCAAACCCATTGTGAAGCTTTCGAATCCACAGCTCAATTTTTTTAGCCTCACAGACCTTGTCAAAAAAAGGTAAATCCTGCTATACATCTTATGGACATTAAATGTCAAGTATAGCAACTGCTGATAGCACGGAATCCTCATCCAAAAAATCCATAATTTTTAAAACAATAAGTTCGTCAAAAACATAAAAAATGAATGAAGAAGGAAGAGGTGCTCAAGAAAGGGCATTAACATCAACCATAGAACTCCCTAGGTGATAAACAATATCAAAATCATATCTATGAAGCTTTAAAACCCATTGAGCAATACAACCAATAAAATTCTTTTGTTTCAATAATGAAATAGCTACAGTATGATTACCTTCTAATAACGTCCAAGAACTATGTAAATATGCATGAAGTTTCTCAAAACCCCAAACTGTTATTAAACATTCCATCTCTATTATAGAGTAGTTCACCTCCGTTGATTATAATGTACATCTAATATATACAATGGGATGGCACTAGGATGGTGCTATATGCAATCATCTGTTGGAAAATTGCTAGAGCATTGTTCAAACTAAATGGCATCACCAAAAATTCATAGAAACCAAATAGTGTACAAAAAACAGTTTTAGGAATATCCTCTTCGACCATCGGTACTTACCAGTACCTCGAAGCAATTAACTGGTGAACCAATAACTTCTCCCCAAATGATTCAAGAAATTAACAATATGAGGAAGAGGGTATATATCTAAGATTGTCACTTCATTTAACAGATGATAGTCAATGTAAAAATGAATACTCCTATCAGGCTTTATCACAAGA